GTTGAGTTTTCTTGTGATGTGTAATTCATGCCATGGGGGGAGGTATTATCATCCTTAAAGGTTGAGCACTGGACCAGACTGTTTGTTTTTCTGAGTTTTCAAACACGTACAGCAGTTCATCGTGAGAGGCAACAGCAGGAATAAAATAAGCGAACATTATAGGGCGTGTAAACCAGTCTACTATCCTTGAAGCAGGTCTGGAGGTGATTGCGCAGGGCTCTATAAGCCGGCGCCAGAGATAACAGCAACAGCTCAACGGGAACCACAACAGACGCGTCTTAGTCGCGTTCCCACCCGCCCTCACGGCAGCCAAGGTCTGTTACACCAATCTCCCTACGGTGGATCTATCTCCCCTCTTCTTAATCTGTGTTTTTAATGACGGAGCAGCCCCTCCCGACTATGCTGCTCCGACTCCTCCTCCTCCTCCTCGCCACCGGGATTGAAGCCCACCTGGCGAGGCTCCTGATTCAACAAGGGCTACTAGCCAGCCAGCCAGCCAGCAAAAGCTCTACCAGCCATCTCCTTTACTGGTGCAAACACCTAGAACGCAAACCTTCGCATTTATTACCATCCTTGACCAGATATGCCTATGACTGTCGTATTCAAGAGCGACTTTCGTTGTTGGCGGATTAACTTATCGTATATCTATCGAATGTTAAAAAAAGTCCAGTTTTGAGCTGCAAATAGATGTTTTCCTGGTACCGATAAAGTTGGTCGCTCACCTTAGATACCCATTACTTCTAGTCCTGCGGTTACTTTTAGTTTAGTTTATTATTTCTTTCAAGAGTTTAGTTAGATACCACTAACGTTAAGAATGTACTTAAACAAAACTAAAATAATACCGCAAAACAGAATGCTGGGGCAAAGGGTATCTAAGGTGGGCGACCAACTTTATTTTTACCGTCTTGCCATTTCATACGCGCATTTCCACAAGCAGAAGAATTTGCTGTACGATCCATTTTGCCATAAACTCTGGCTACAGTAGTCGTCGAAAATCACGCAATATGCCGACATATGCGAAAGATTGATACCCTTTCGCTAATCGGCGTTGACTCAGGTTGTGATACTGATTATCGTGTAGGCTATTCTGAAGTCATTTC